CGTGGTTGCTGATGTTGGTGCCGGAGATGCGCGTTTGATTATGTTTGTTAGTTAGTTAGTATTATTAATTGAGGGATGCTGAATCCGGTTGTCTAAATAAAATGAGAGTGAATGCATGCATGCTTAATTACGCACGTGCCGTTTTTAACGTCGTGGATGCGCGCAAGTGGTGTCATCGCTGTACTTCATGTCCGGCCCCTAGGGGGGTATAAATAAAGGGTTAAATATTACTTTGGTTAACACGTCATATTCCACAAACTAATCAACTTGTTTTCGGTACTACTAATTATAATTGATCGGTGGTAATTAATATTGGCAACCATATATGCATAAGAAGATTGTCGATGAGGGCAGAGAGGACAAAGATGAGAAGATGGAAAGAGCTTCTGTGCTTATTAATTACAGCTCTTCAAATTCCAAACGGTACCCTGAACATATATATATATATATATATAATATATATATATATATATATATATATTATATATTATATATAATATATAGGAATATGGGTAGCTTGCGTACCAAGCATGAAATTTTGTGCCTTGGTAGTGAGTGGACAATCCCCTCCACTTATTCAAATGAGGCGATCACATTCACATGGGGTTGAGAAGTTGCCCATAGAGATATGCCAACCATTTTTGATATGGAGTGGAGGGGATTATGCCACCTCACTACAAGCCACAACTTTTCTCGCTTTGGTACCAAGCAATACCCATTTCTCATATATATATATATATATATATATAATAATATATTATATTATATATACCTATATATATAACCTGTAGCGCCTTACCGAAGCAATTAAATATATATATATATATATATATATATATATATATAAATATATATATATATAGGGAAAAATGAAATCTAAGGTGACACCTCTAGGCTCCCACCTAAGGACGCGGCCCTAGAATCACAATCATTTCCTAATTTTTTTTACGATCCGATCCGTTGAACTTGTCTACACGTTCTAAACCCAAAACACACCAATTTTTGGGGTGAAACCATGGTTTTGACCATTCGCTTGAGCCGATGTAAAAAAGTTCTATTATTCGAAACCGTTTAAATTGCAACGATGTGGATACAAGGGTCAAAACACGATGCGGTTCACCCCAAAATTGGTGTTTTGGCGTTTAAGAAACGTATAGATCAAGTTCAACGGAGCGGCGATCGCAAAAAAAATTAGGAAATGATGCTGATTTTAGGCCGCGTCCTTAGGTTGGAGCTAAGGTGTCACCTTTAGATTCACTTTTCTCATATATTATATATATATATATATATATATATATAATAATAAAATATGATATACTTAACTTATATATATATATAAAAAGAAATCACCTTTGGAGGCTCCTATTTGAAGCAGTCATTCCAACATCGATCCCGTTGCCTCAACTGACCCGAAAGAAGCTGCAAAAGCAGCACAAAATTTTGCGTTCTCCTACTATTTCAGCTCACTGACCCCAATCCTTCGGATTTTTTTTAAACTAAACATCTAAATTAGGCGTACCTGATCTTGTTTACCCAAAACCAATCATCCCATCCCTAAATTATCAATTACCATTGATTATTTCCCCAAGAAAACCTCTCTGTTCTCCTCTTTGCTCATGCAATCGGGATATATATACACTCTCCACTATACTCTGTCGCAAGTTGCGATCGCCAATAGGCACAGCACCAATCCCCCCGGGCCGTCG